GGTTACCCATGCCGAATATAGCCAGGGTTTGAAAGATAAACACTCCAATGAATTCCGTGCAAAAGGAGAAATAAGGCTAATGAAAGATGCGCGGGAGAGACATTGAAGATAATGAGAGATTTCGATTTACACTTTTGGAGGTATCGTCACACCTGCTTCAATAACTCATGAATTATTAGACAAAATCAAATAGGATTTTGGTTTTATCTTTTTGAAAGATGATTTTAAAAGTAAGATAGGAATACTAAAAACATAAAAGAGAAATAAATATAATTCACATCAAAAGTTTACCCTGCGTTTCTTTTTCTTTTCAGTTTATATCTTGGAAGGGCCTCTATCGACTTACGTCTTACGTTTGAAAAGATTGTCAAATCTAAGCATGATTCTATTTAAGGTCTTAAGTTTAAGACTGTATTTAGGTCCTATATGAGTATGGTGTAAGACATATTCCACTGATCATTGCAAAAAGCAAGTTTAATGAATTAATATATTAAAGACTTGCGTTTATCATTCATTTAGATTGCTGGGGATCAAATGTAAATGATTCAGTTTTATTTTTAAAAGTTACCTAATTTATAATATGTTTTACTTATTCTATACAAATAAAAGTAAAAACGACATTTACTCTTTTGGAGACTTGTTTGTATTGTGGCCTTTTGAGAATATTGTCAACACAAATATTGCATTAGTCATTGATCATTCAAGTGCAATCCATGATATTTGCCAGACTGTCGGACATTTTATCCATATTTCTACTTCACAATTCCTGAAACACACACTTTCATTGCATAAAAAATACCATTTCCATATTACATGCTGTATTAGCCCGGAACACCAATATCAGCCAGAGGGCGGAAGGCCAAAGACTGATATTGGTCGAGGGCTATTAGAGGATGTGATGTTATGGTTAATTCTACTAGGGGTGTAATATGAATCCGTATAAACCCAGCAGATGCATATCATTCCCGTAGGATCCGTATCTGTCTTGGAAGCTGTTATGGCTATCGTGTTGTCATACATATCGAGTATGGACAAAAGCTACATTTTTACTTAGTGTGTAATAAATAAAAATACATACATAAATTGTATGTTACTATAATTCATAACCGGTCGAACTTACCATATGCAAAACATAACATTCCAACGAATAAAAACAGATTCAGACGCGTGAATTTAATCATTCTTTAATCAGAAAACAAGGCCACTATCAATTAATGCGAATTGACGCTCTTCAGAAAAATGCTAGCAACGTTCCTTGTGATGTATTTTAAACAATACTCTCTTCCTCTCAGTTTCTTCTTTTTATAAATTTTAATTGTATAAACCAGGAAGAACTAGTTAAACTAATTATAGTAAGATAACGCACATTTTTACAGTGTTTGAAGTTCATCAATGCATGCTTCGTGTTTATTGTGACATTCCTTAACTGTATTTATTTGCATAAATTTATGCTGCTGTTTACATTTTATGACTCTCTCTCTCTCTCTCTCTCTCTCTCTCTCTCTCTCTCTCTCTCTCTCTCTCTCTCTCTCTCTCTCTCTCTCTCTCTCTCTCTGAAATGTAAAAGTTGAAAAGAAGAAACAGTGATTGATCTTTAAAAAGATCTACAATACAAAACATGTTCAGAAGGCTTAAAACCCAAAAATATGTAATTTTACTTGACTTCCCTTTATTTTATATTCTGTATTGTTCTTTACATCAAGTTAACAAACCATAAAACCTTGATAATTTGTTCTTTAGCAGATAACCATTTATAAATGAATTTGAAATACGTAAAAAATGTCATCGCTTTGTCCAGAGAGGCACATTTTCCAATTGGGCAAGGAGTATCTAAACCGTTGTTGGATTACCAAATGTGTCGCTCTAAATAAACATACGATCTGTTTTACTCTACATACTTCTTTTGTCTAATGTTAAAATTGATTCAAATTAATCAAATTAATTTACTTATTTTTTTTTAAACTTTTTACGTGCAGATTCATTTAATGTGTACTCAAACAGAAAGCAATAACTACCTTTGTCATTATATTGTATAATGTAACTTAAAATCGAAAAGAAATGCTTTAATAAGACAAAATGAAACTCATTTCTCATTATCGGAAATCTTTTTTCTGTCAGAACACGGAGCAGAGCGAAAGGTGTGTTTCTGGATATCAAAACCATAACTTTTTTATTAATTTTTCGTCATTTTTTGAAGTGAAATGAAGTTTTTCCATACACTCTTTTCTAATCATTTTTAATCAGTTATCAGCTTTAGTGTAGTCATGTAAGGAAACATGCCATACGAGATAATTATAATTTCTGGGGATCCATTGTTTATTCCTTGATCAAAGATTTGTATTCTTCTTTTTTGGAATTTGATTACTTTTTTTTATTGGGAGATGTACTAGAATTGAGACAACAAGAGGCCAATGGGCCACATCACTCACCTGATCATTATGGCTAGTAAAAAAGCAGAAATTATTTTATTATTGAAAAGTTTAAACCCAAAAGTGGTCCAAACGTATCTCCCTGTGGCTTTACTGCCCTTTACATTTGAACTTACAATGTGACCCCCCCCCACTAAAGTATGACCAATCATGGCTTTGTTTTCCTTGAAAATAAAACTAAAATAAAAACTCCCATTTTATAAAATCGACGAATAACACTTGTCTGTGAATATAAACTTCTAAAGAAATAAAAAAAATACATTTATTGTTGTGCCAAGTTTATAGACGAAGCCTGTGCTTTTTTAGTAGAGATTCGATCTGTTCCATTCAAACAACTTTTCTCAGATTATTATTAATCTTGTAAATACGTTTGTGTGTACATCTTTCTTTTTCTTTTTTATTGTCAATATACAATATGTTTCTAACGTAACATGATATAGCATGTAAACTATTTGTGTTGTAAAATCTTTGAGGAGAGGAAATAAAGATGGAAAGAATGTTATTCTTTGAGCAAAACCCATTTGGTTTTACATATACGAGGGTCATTCAAAACGTTCGTAGACTTTTGTCCTAACTTTTTTATTTAGAGTCGTATTGTATCCAAATTTGGTACACATAATTTAACAACAAATTCGAATAATTTCAGTTAAAAAAAATTGGAATATATCTTCATATTTAAATCAATTATCTTAGATTTTGAACGGCAAAAATGGGATCATGGAGCAATGTCAAAATTGAGATTATATTTACAAATGTTCACTTTACAGTAGCTATAGCCATTGCTCTTATAAATAGGGCCGAAACGAAATAAAATTTACACGTTGAAATCAAGTCTTGCTGTAGACTCAAGATGGTATCAAATAATATGATATATCGCTTCGTTTCAGTTTCTAGGTCATATAGATTTGATTAAAACAGACAAAAAAATCATAACGTTGGAGGATGGATAAGCGAGTAGCAATATAATTTTGCTTTGCATTTGGAAAACTTCTTTAACAAACTTAAAAAATTATGTATTAACCCAGAGCTCTAGATAAGATGCGTATTTGCAGAAATACGCATTAAATTTTACAAAATACGCATTGAAAATCAAAATAGAGCGTACCATTACGCTATAGAAATCAGAGATACGCATTACACCACGAAAGTACTGCGTACAACAAGTTGAAGAGGACAGGTACGACTTACCTAATGAAACGAATTGAGGTTAACTCAGTTTTTGATTTTTCTGAAAACGAAGTACATATTTAACAACCTTTTATTGACTAGGAATATTTTAGTAATGACGACGGCGATCTCTATTTCGGGAGGAAGAATCGGAGATATAGATTAAAATCAACTTCTATGTGGAAAGACTATGCACTAGGCATAACTTAATTTTACTATGGGTCCAATTTTTCATCTCTCTCAACTTGCCACATTAACGAAGATTCTTTTCTCTCAGTTTACTCTTGATACGATATCTTAATGAAGGAAAAGTTTTCTGTGTCTCTGACTCTTTGGTACCTTGACCTACTGTATAATCTTCCATTTCAAAAAAGAATGCTTCCAAACCTTAGCATAATTTAAATAAATCCAGGAACTGACCTTTGAAGTTTTTCCCTCTTCAAAAACACTTCAATTAAAAGCTCAAAATAAAGGTCAAAGCGTTAAATATAAACAAAATACTCTTCAATCATTTTGCTGAAAATTTAAATCTGCATTCATTAAAAACTCAGGGAGTAAATACACTTTCGGGTAACAAATTATCAGAAGCTCTTTTAACCAGAAAATGTATGAAAAATAAGACGTGTACATGTATTTGTATAAAATGGAAAATACAATTTTTAAGTGGCAGCGAGTTTTATTCGGACGATGGATGGTGTGCAAAGAAACAGGTTATAATTTAAAATCTTGTCAAAAGAGTAAGGAAGGTCATTAAACGTGATGCGCGCTTCACTAGTACTAGTACCAGTACTAACAGAGTTACGCGATAAAGAATTTGAAAATACCGATAATCTGATTCAAGCTATCTGTACAATTATTGGCAAACTTGGTGTTTAATATGATTGATACTTCTTTTGAAAGGAGAAGATGCTTCAGACCGTGTATGAAATTAAAAAGATGAGTAATTTTTAGAAACTTTCTCTACATTGTTTTTGACGTTACAATGTTGATTAACCGTGCTCCATGGTAACAAAACATGTTGCATAAAAAATTAGCTAACATGAATTCTATCTAATGAAATGGAATGAAACTTCACACTTCAGCAAAATAAATATCTTTATTAACAAAAATGTGTTGATTTATAATCTTGTTATCAGAATATGACGACGAGGATCATCTGAACACTGTCTACGTAGATTTTGAATGACCCTCGTATAATAGAATAATCACAGTTTTGGTGTAAACATTCGGTACACCATTGATGTTATCACTAACTTGCAATAAAAAGAATTTTTTTTAATTTGTTCCTATAATAGGAGACCAACCATCCATAAAAACATATTACACTTTATCATTTTAGCGGAGAATTAGACTACTACTGAGGTTTGTTGACCTTTAAGTTCACATCTGATAAATCCGTCCTTTAAAATCCATAAACTCCGAAAGGATGACTGCCTTTTTGAAGAACATTAAAAGCACGATGTGGTCCCAGGTGATTCTTGTGTGTTCTTTAATTAACCTAGCCTATGGGTTGCAGCAAGAGGTCAGTTTTGAATACAAATACAGCTTTAAAGGCCCCCACCTGACCCTGGAAAACAAAAGCATCCCTTTCTGGGATTACGGAGGAGGTAAGAATTTTTTCGTAAGGATTCCGTTAGAATATTTTTAAACTGAATTAAACTAATTTTAAAATTCCTATATTGTTGATGAAAAAAAGTGATAGCTTGAGTTGTGTATTATAGCTACGTACATAAAAGTTCATCGACATAAAAAGCATTGCCTATTTACACAATATATGTGCAATTTACGCAGTAGTAAGTGGAGCTCTTAGTCCACATTTAAGCATGACAACGTCAAAGTTTTGATACATTTTTATTTTGATAAAATATTGCATGTCGAATAAAAATGAAAAATCTGTAGGATTTTAATATCACAGCATTTATTTGATGGGTTTTGACTGCAAAATACAACATTCAGGGGGTTCAATGTCCGTGCAATAAACCATGAAATAATGATTCGCGGAGCATATCATTTATAATAGAAATAAAGCGAATTGAAAAATATTATGAGAGAGGTAGAAATATTTTTACCTATTTTCTGAAATATCATCAGTTTATTTTTTTTATCAGTAATCTGCCTTGTTTCGAAATTAAGCATGCTCTTTCATATAAAAAAATATGAATAAATTTACACCATTTGCAGTTGATTCTGGAATTCCTCAGCTTTCCTTTACGTTGATAAATAATCAGCGTTAACAGTGGTGTATAATCCTGCGTAAGTGAATTATTTTGATATCTTTTAGATGCTATCACAGGTGATGATTACATCATATTAACCTCCTACAGAAGGAGCATGAGAGGTAATTATAGATAGTTTATTAATTTAAACAATGTACTTTTATAATTGAGAGAGGGTAAGGCTACATGAATTTTAAAAATTTTATTTAGTCTCAATGTAAATCTATAATTATGTTCACAACGTTTGTATATCTTTTTTGTTTGTTTGATTGATTGTCTTTGTTTGGTTTTATCAATTTTGAGACGCAATTTTCTTTCCTGAAAGGGTGGGTCTGGAGCACTCTGAAAACAAGCTTTAACCAGTGGTCTGTGGATTGTGTTTTCAAGGTCACAGGACGGGGTCGTGTCGGTTCAGATGGATTGGTAAAAATCTTATATTTTCCTTCAAATATTTTACTTTGACATCTTTAAAAACACAAAAAATCACGTTTATAAAATAAAAGCTCGCACAGATTATACATTTCATTAAATAGATAGGGCATATTATTGATTTTTTTTTCTTTTACAAGTGATGTTAGCATTAAAAAAATATTTTATCCAAATCTATCCAAATGGAAGAAAAGTCGTGGAGCTTTATAAAATTACTACATGAACTATATGATTCAGATTAATTACCTATGTAACTTACAGTTGACTGACAAGTTCGTTTGATGCTGGTTTGTGTTCAGCGACTATTTTGGACAGAATGCTAAATTAGTAGTCTATCGTATTCGTTTTTTTAATTTTTTTTGACAGACTGTTGAATTCTGTTATTTTGTTCGTGTATGTTGACAGGCTGTGTGGTTTACTGAGGACAAAGGTCAGGAGGGACCAGTTTTTGGGAACCAGAATATGTGGAGGGGACTGGGTGTGTTTATGGACTCCTTTGATAATGATGGACAGGTAATACTTATGTAATGTCATTATGTAGAGGGGACTGGGTGTGTTTATGGACTCCTTTGATAATGACAGACAGGTAATACTAATGTAATGTCATTATGTTGAGGGGACTGGGTGTGTTTATGGACTCCTTTGATAATGACGGACAGGTAATACTTATGTAATGTCATTATGTGGAGAGGACTGGGTGTGTTTATGGACTCCTTTGATAATGACGGACAGGTAATACTTATGTAATGTCATTATGTTGAGGGGACTGGGTGTTTTTATGGACTCTTTGATAATGACGGACAGGTAATACCTATGTAATGTCATTATGTTGAGGGGACTGGGCGTGTTTATGGACTCCTTTGATAATGACGGACAGGTAATATGTAATTTCATTATGTGGAGAGGACTGGGTGTGTTTATGGACTCCTTTGATAATGACGGACAGGAGGTAATACTTATGTAATGTCATTATGTGGAGAGGACTGGGTGTGTTTATGGACTCCTTTGATAATGATGGACAGGTAATACTTATGTAATGTCATTATGTAGAGGGGACTGGGTGTGTTTATGGACTCCTTTGATAATGACAGACAGGTAATACTAATGTAATGTCATTATGTTGAGGGGACTGGGTGTGTTTATGGACTCCTTTGATAATGACGGACAGGTAATACTTATAACAGTGCGACATTTAACTCCGGACACGACATTTGTCCGGACTTTCGCCAACCACTTTTCCAAAGATATGTGGAAACCATTTATGTCATCTGATGGGATTTTTTAAAACTTAACACATGAACCAAACTTTACACCTGATTATCTTCTAGGTAAAAAGATATTACACCTGAAATCAAGAAATCCCATGGGATAATGGTGGGATTTTTTCTCCTAACCAATATCCCACCATTATTCTGTGGGAGAAAAAAGTATTCTGTGGGATTT